AGTCCCTCCCCTCCCACCCTCAGTAGTTGTAACAGCCACAGTAACTTCTAACTGCCCACTGATTAAAGTCCCACATCCCTGGTCCAGCCCTCTAGGTCCCCATCAGTCCATCCTGAATCTCCTATTGGTCCCCTGTAAAGACACTGCATTCCAGTCAGATGTGTCTCTCCTCCATCCACAGCCTTCTTCTCTGCTCAGATTGCACTCGCCTACACCCCACACCTGCCAACACTACCCATCTCCAGCCTCGATTCCCAGCTAAGCCACAGCCAGCCCTGGTATCTACACTTACAGCTCAGCATACATCAGAGTCCCCAAGGGTTGGGGACACCTGTCTTTGGTCATCTCACTCGTGGTCCCTCTTTGACAGTCTCTGCGGGGACTCCTCTTTCTCACCATTGGTCCATATGGTGTTTGTTGCAGGGATGAACACCTTCGAGTCTTAGACAAAGTCACCATGATTCATTAGGAAGCATCTACCTGGCTTCTAGCCGTTGGGCTGGGAGGAGTCAGCCCTGGGGCTTTTGCTGCCGTCATTCTTTTTGTTTTTATTTAGTTTTTGCTTTCGGGGACAGCCCTGGCTGTCCTGGAACCCACTGTGTAGGCCAAGCTGGCCTGGAGCTCACAGAGATGCTACAGCCTTTGTTTCCGCCTCTGCCTCCTCCTAAGTTCTGTGATTGAAGATGTGTGCAACTAGGCCTGGCTGCTGGCGTTCATTTTCCAGTCATTGGTAAGCTTGAGCTATGGAGCATCAGAGCTGCTGGTCCCTTTATTTCTTACCTTTAAGAAGGAGTGGGCTTAAAATGAACCAGCACAGAGGAACCAAGACATAGAGGTGGGTGCCTCAGACGTCACCTGAGCAACCCTGAAATTCTTGATGTTCAAGTCATAAGAGTCAATAAACCCAATGCTCTTTATTTCATTTTATTTATGACAGTGTGAGCTGAGTTTCTGTTGCCCACTGCTCCAGGGCTGCTGACCAATATCTTGACCCAAGGAGACAGCAAGCTTGCTGAGAGCAGGGATTGACTCCGTAGGCTTAAAATCCTTGGGGTCAGATGTGGTGACGCATTTTTCTGAAAATACCTCTGGACTCCAAAGGGACTGAATTTTTGTAGACCTTGCAGCTGAGTTAATAATATGCCTTGAGATTATTTAAGACTATATACTTAACCTGAGATGCTATCCTACGGTGTGCTTTGGTTTATGGTTAAACTGCTTTTAAGAGAACAATGTAACCAACCTTACTATGTCTTGGATTTCCCATGCAATCAGCTTTTATAACCTAAGCTAACACATAACTTTAATCTTAAATTGTGTACTCTTAAATGATCCTGACCCAGAATAATGTATGTATGTATGTATGTATGTATGTATGTATGTATGTATGATTTGCTGATAGCAGCCAACAGGTTGAAGGCAACCTTATACGGTAAATATCTCATAACTGTTGGAAGTCACATCTGGATGGATGCAGGTTGATTACATCTGCTCACACTGTTTAGTGCTATTCTTAAGCAACTGGGTTCAGTAAAGCAACTTCGTCCCTTCTAAAATTCTGTTAAGATTTCTGTAGAGAAGTTCTCATTTCTTTCCCATTCCATGTTTTCTGTGCTGTTCAATAAATACAGAGCAAAGTCCTTTGGGAGGGACGCACACAGGCACAGATTTGGGCACACACAGAGACACAGGACAGACACCAGCAACAGCAACAGGCCAGAAAGATCAGACACACACAACTGACAAAAGACTGGTCAGTAACCACAGACAAGACACAGGGAGAGACATGGAGAAGTCTAATTTTGGCTTAATCTTAGTCAAGCTAATCCAAGAGGAAGTCTGAGGTTTAATTGTTAACACAACACTAACACAGTCAAGGATGGCCTGTATACTCCATTGTGGTGGTTTGATTAAGAACGGCCTCCACAGGCTCATGTATTTGAATGTTTAGTCCAGGGACTGACACTATTTCAAAGAATTAGAAGAATTAGGAGGTGTGGCCTTGTTGGGGGACGTGTGTCATTGGGAGTGGGCTTTGAAGTTTCAAAAGCCCATGCCAGGCTCAGCATCTCTCATTCCGCCTACAGATCAGGATGTAGCTCTCAACTACTTCTCCAGCACCATGCCTGCCATCATGCTCCCCACCATGATGATAATGAACTAACCTCTGAAACTGTAAGCAAGCCCTCAATTAAATGTTTTCTTTTTTAAGAGTTGCTGTGGTCATGGTGGCTCTTCACTGCAATAGAACAGTGACTGAGACACCCAGCTTTGCAGCATTGAATGCAGGATGATCACATAATGGTGGAGCTGGAGCACACACACACACACACACACACACACACACACACACACACCCCAGACACACACACACACACACACACACACACACAGAGAGAGAGAGAGAGAGAGAGAGAGAGAGAGAGAGAGAGAGAGAGAGAGAGATGAGCAAACAAATAAATGTCATTAAAAAGGAAAAGTTGAGACATTTCACTTTTAACTCAGGACTAGTAGTCCAGAGCTGGCCTGTTTTCTAGTGCCACTTTATTAAGCAGTAAGAATCAGTCACTTATCTAGAGATCTCTGAGCAAAATGCAATCAAGTTCTCGATTCTGCCAACTGCCCCCTCAGCCCTCTGGGAAAGGAAAATGCCCTGGACCAGGAGTCATTAAAAAAAAAAAGTGACCCTAGACTGAACTTCCTCCCATTGTTAGTGGTGTGACTGTGAGTAAGTCTCTCACATACAGGTGGTTAAGTTGCTTCTCTGAAACAGGGGGGAATGAAGGTGAAATTTGAAGGTGGTGATCGATCTCTAAGACTGTCAAGTTTCAGTGATTACACTGTTAGGCTGTCCATCAAATCCCACATGAATTACAGAGAATTGGAGGGCCAAGAAGTCAGCAACTCATCTGCAGACTCTGAATTAAAGTTGATGAATTGGGGTTCAAGCTGAGCACATATTCTTTCCAGCTTGACTTCAAGGGAAAATACAATGAGAGTGCACACCGTCACCTCTGGGTCCCACTGGAAAATGTGGAACAACATCTCCATTCCCTTCATTTCTCTTTCTTTGTTCTTTTCAAAAGTTCTTAAAGAGCCACATTAAGATGGACCTACATCTGAGGGCTGGAAAGAACTTTGGGTGGTTAAGGATGCTAGCTGCTTCTGCAGAGAGCTAGAGTTTGGTTCCCAGTCCTCACAGTTCACAGCCACCTGGAACTCCAACTCCAAAGGATCCCATGCCCTCTTCTGGCCTCCACACTCAACTGCCTTTGAATGAAAATGACCAGCCGGGCGGTGGTGGCGCACGCCTTTAATCCCAGCACTCGGGAGGCAGAGGCAGGTGGATCTCTGTGAGTTCGAGGCCAGCCTGGGCTACCAAGTGAGTTCCAGGAAAGGCACAAAGCTACACAGAGAAACCCTGTCTCGTAAAAACAAAACAAAAAAACCAAAAAGCAGAAAATGACCACCACTACCACCACCATATACACACACATACATACACATAATTAAAAACAAAAATACATCTTTTTTTGTCCCCCCCTCCCAAAAACACACCTTAAAAGAGAGAGAGAGAGAGAGAGAGAGAGAGAGAGAGAGAGAGAATGTCCATATCTGAGTATATAGTACCTTTCTCCAATCAGCCCTTTTCAGACCTTAAACATCCCCCAGTAGGGGCAGGAATTCCTACCTACCTTTATAAAAGTCCTCCTAGAGAAGCAAACTAGCCTCATGACCTTGACCTCACCCCTGGCCTCCAGCCCAAGTGACAAGTCTTAATTTGATCACTATCGTCTTCTCGGCGCTTGACCTTGAGTGACATCAAGCCATTTTGAAAATTCACACTCCTCCCCGAAAAGATGGAGATTTCTTCCCAATGGAAAGGCTCAAGTGAACACACACCATACTGCAGAGCCAAGTCCCTGTGATGCTTCCCGCAGTGGTATCGCCAGCAAGTTGCTATCACCTTTCCTTTGGGGGCCTCTTTGGAGAGGCTGAACACTTGTTGAACATTCTGAAGTGCTTACTGGGATGAACTGTCTCTAATGCACCATTACCAAATCGTCTCTCTCTCTCTTCCATCCCTGGAAGGCTCCAAACATTTTCCTGGCCTCTACCCATCTTCTTTCCCCACCCTGCCATCCCTAGGCTCCTCTTTGTCTTGCCCAACCCTCTTCTCCTTTCCTGCAATTAGGCAAATGCCCAGGTTGCTGAGCTTTCAAAATGTGACTGCGATCGAAGAGTGGGCGGGGACACAGGATTCTAATGGATCAGGGGAAACTGTCTCAGCAGATCTTGTTCCCAAAAGGCCTTTCCTTAGGGAAAGATGACTGTCCCAGTCAATCAGTTCAGAGACTTCAAGGAACTCGTCACCATTGAATGTGACACAGAACCCTTCCTGAATAAGGGTCAGGGTGAAGGAGACCTTCTCTCCAGAGGCTCATGTTGCAAGCTTTCCACAGAACAGCTCCCCAGTACCAACACCACAGATCGCCCCCCACTCTCAGGACAGGACTTTAAAGTTTACCAAAGACCCTTTCATTTCTCTTCTGTACCGTTTCACAGATGAGGAAACCAAACCTCAAAGAACTTAATGCCAGCAAGTTCAAGGTTCAAGTCAAGTATCCCGCATCCCCAATTCATGCCCCCCCCCCCCCAGCATAACAGAAATTGACAACACTTAGAGTAAGCCCTCATTCAGGGGGAAAAAACTTTTTCCTTATAGACAGCCAACAGAGACCCTCGGAAACACGAACATAACGATAACTCATCAGTTGAGCCAACCTCTGCGCTTCCAAGCAGACAGCCCCAAACATTTCTAAAGATTGCCCCCTGCCCTAAGGTGGCTCTCTGATGTTGAATGTTCTCCCCAAGAGCTACTGAGGGTTGGTCACTAAGTGTCTCAACACAGAGAAGAAGAATCTAGCTCTGACTCTTCCAAGAAAGAGCTCCGGTCTCCAGCATCTTTGCCGAGGGTCCCGCGCCCACTCCTCCCCTACCTGCCAAGAGCTGCATCCAGGCGCAGATCTTGTAGACAGTGGCGGTGTTGCAGAAGAAGAAAAGAGCGAAGCAGGTGATGCAGCCGAGAATCAGCACCATGGAAAGCAACACGAAGAAAGCGGCCGCCTTGAAGGCGCTGGACGGGATGGTGCTGAAGTCGGTGAAAGAGCCCCGGCAGGTGAGCTCGCGGCCCGCTAGCCCGCTGCCCACGCAGTAGTGGAAGAGGCCGAAGTAGCCAGGCTTGGGAGTGCTCACGCTGTCTCCTACCCAGTAGGGCTGGATGAAGACCACCACGTTGATGATGGCGAAGCAGATGGTGAAGATGGCCCACAGCACGCCGATGGCCCGCGAGTTCCGCATGTAGTGCTCATGGTAGAGCTTGGAGGCCTCCTGCGAGGGCAGCATGGTGCCCGGGGGCGGGGCCGGCGGCGGCTGCTGGTGGGGGGCCGCCGGCCCAGGACTGACCACCGGGCTGCTGCGGGGCGGGAGCTGGGGATGCACGCGAGAAGCAGCCCTGAGTCAAGGAACTCGCAAGGGCGGGGCCTGGGGCGGAGCTGGGGACCTGGGGGCTGGCTAGGGGAGCTAGGAGGGGGTCGGGACAGTGTTGGGGAGGCGACTTGAAGGACTAGCTAAGGTTTCCTACTGGGGGGCCTAGGAAGAGGGCCATGGGAAAGTTGGGGGGCTGAGATGAGAACATGGGAGCTGGAAGTAGGGGGTGCCAGAAAGTGCTGGTGGGGGAGTCAGAGGGGGGCTTAGGAACTGGTGCTGGGGTAAGAGGGGGCCGTGGGGAGATGTAATGAAAGATGGAGATCAATACTGGAGCATTAACAGGCACCTAATAGAGGGAGCTGGGAAGGGCATGTCGGAGCTGTTATTAGGGGAGCGGGTCTGGGACTGGGTGTCTGAAGGGGATCTGGAAGCTGATAGACGCTTCTCTATAAGGAAGGGGAGAAGAGGTTGTCAGGGGCTGGTTCTGAGGGCATGAGGAAGGTTATGATAGGGCCAGGCAGGGGACAAGAACCGGTAACCAGGGCTAAGTGTTGGAATCAGGATGAGGCTAGCGTGGAATCAGGGGCTGACACTGCAGGGTCTGCACTCGTCGGGGGAGTGGGGGTGCTCCTTAGAAGCCGGGGTTGAATGTCGGCTGCGGGGGGAGGGATAGTCTGGGATTGGCGGGCCAGGGCCGGGGAGAGTGGCTTTCCAGGCCAAGGGGACAGAGGGCCCGAGGCCAGGGGGCAGTCTGGGCCTGGAGGGGCGTGCAGCGGGCAGGGGCCGTGCCGGGGCGCGGGGGAGCGGCTGGGCCCCGGTAGGGCCGGAGCTGGGGGGTGGCTGCCCTGCACCCAGGCCGGACGCGCGCGGAGGCTGCGGCTGCGGAGAAGGGATGCGGGAGGACCAACCTGGGCCGGGTCGGGGCGGCTGATCCGGGACCGGCAGGGCTCAAGCGCCGGGGCTGGGTGCTCTAGGCAGCGGATGCCTCGGCCCAGGCGGCGTCCTCTGCGCGGCCTCCATCTTGCTCCGGCTCTCCCCGGGGCGCGCTCCCGCGCCGAGGAGCGCGCTCCCGTGCACTGGCGCGGCGCAGCCGGGGCGCGCTCCCGCGCGGGCGTAAAGAACTGAGCAGAGTGGAACGGGGGAGGGGGAGGGGCGCTCCAGGTCCTGGCAGCCAGAGGGAAAGTCAGGCACGGTGACCCTGAGGTCCCTCAGCCAGAGCCACACACCCCACTGTGACCCCGACCGCAAGCCTCCGGACTGCCGGGACTCCCCTCCGCCAGCCTGAGTTGAGGGGTTCCAGCTCCCCACAAAGCCCGTGGGAATGGGGGAAGGGCCCGAAAGAGGATTATTTGATAGGCGTTGAACTCAATCTCTTGATTCTAGATTACCACCTACCACCTATGACAATGCCTTCAGTCTTTGCATTCTGCTTCCACGCCTTTGCGTCTTGGAGGCGTTGAAGGTTTCCAGAGTTTCCTAGGAAACTGTCAACACCCCCCTGGGAGAGGGAAACTCCTAAACTGTTAACACCCTATGCCAGCCATGGGGATTCCTTGGCCCACAACACAAGGAGATGGGGCCAGGGAAGAGGACCCAGGCTGAGTACCAAGAACAGGAGAGAAAGGGGCTGGGGAAGTGGGTGTTTCCTCTCTGCATCCTGCCCAGTGTCCAAACCATGCATGCCATGACGTTTGCACATCATGAAGATCTAAACACCAAAGCCTCAAAGTCAAGGCTGGTGACCAGACCAAAGGAAGGCCCCGGGACACTCCTGTGGGGTCTTTGGAACCCAGACAAACTAACACTAACTGTGACCTTGAATCTGAGCTCTTTGAATCTGTCTCCCATCTGTAGACAAATTATGTCCCACTTTCCAGGTGTGTGTGTGTGTGTGTGTGTGTGTGTGTGTGTGTGTGTGTGTGTATGCAAATGATCCATGTAAATGGATCCCAAACACTTGACCACACTCAGTCCCTTTGTTGAAACTCATATCTATATGCAAAAACTCATATGATATTTTGTTTTTCCAGTGGGATAAGAAACTTTTTTTTTGCCAGGCAGTGGTGGCACATGCATTTAATCCCAGCACTCGGGAGGCAGAAGCAGGCGGATCTCAGAGTTGGAGGCCAGCCTGGGCTACAGAGTGAGTTCCAGGACAGCCAGGGCTACAAAGAGAAACCCTGTCTCAAAAAAATTAAGAGAGGGAGAGACAGAGAGAGAGAAAGAGAGAGAGAGAGAGAGAGAGAGAGAGAGAGAGAGAGAGAAGAAGAAGAAGAAGAAGA